ATTATTTATATATATATATATATATATATTCTTATATCACAACATATCAGCTATTTTTACAATCAAAATTTCCATGAATAACATGCACATCAATCAATAACTGATTAAAAAAATATATCCATCAATTATCAAGTAATAATTTATTCTCAAGGCTTTCTCTTACACAAATAGGATTTTTTTAGAAAAAATTTAAAATAGATAAATCTTAAAAGAAATTGAAAAAGAAATAAGTTACATTTTAATATGAGATATGTAAAAGGAAGTCATATCTAAAAACATGACTTGTGATTTTATATTTTTTCTAAAATTCAATCACAACTCCTATTAATTGAATTTTAAAATCTATGAAGTCACAAGTATGTTTAACAACTCCTTAACATATATATATATATATATCGTGTTTTTAGTAATATGCATGAATTACTTTTGTAAGAAATTTTTTAAGATTTACTCATTTAAAAAAATTAAAAAAAAAGAATTATCTCATCTATGTAAAAAAAAAAAAAAAAAAAACTCTCAATTCATCAATAATTATTGTGCACGTAAATTTATTAATAATTTCACTTATTGATCTGGCGTAGGATTCTGCATGTACATAATTGTTTATTTGGCAACTTGAGCATATTATTGCTGCTTTGTTTATTGGATGTGCTTAGAAGATCGTGGAAGATGGTATTCTGTGATTTCCATGTGAATTGCCTATTTGTTTATCCAACTAACACAAATATAAAAACCTTGAGCCAGCAGGCAGTAAATCTTTAAAACGCTTCCATTTTAAAAAAAAAAATTCTAAGCTAAAAATGCTAAGAATAACAAAGATTCAAATTTATAATATAATAGTAGATATAGTAGTATTATATATCTATTATTTCTATTTATAAGCTATTTAAATTTTAAAATATCGCACAACAACTTGCTAAATTTTTTAGTATCCCAAATAACATACTGTTTACGGTGGAATTAGTTTTATAGGTTCTTTATATTTAGACTAGCACGAGATTCGTTTCAATTTAGGTATTAAAATTTTTTACGAAGAGTAAAAGACGGAGTAGAAAGACTAACAATTACCTGTTTCCAGATATTCGTCAATAATCAACAAGCAATAATGTTCATGCATATAAACTCGCAAAGAAACTGAATGTACAATACAAATTCTTGCAATACAAATCATGTTCACATTACTTTAAACAGTTATAATTTCACTAGTAAAAGCTATCTGAATAAGTGATTAAAAGGAGAAAAGACAACTAAACTACTCCTAATCCTAAAAAAAGATAATAAACGTGGCCAAGAAGTAGTCATACCCAAAAACGATCTTGTGCAAGAAAGTCATATGCCTACACAGAGAGTGCTTCAGAAGTTAATTCAAGTATGAGTTTTTCCGACCCTGTGCACGAGGTTAATACTCCTATTTATAAACTGACTCAATAGCGGTTAAAATTTGTGTTTGAGTGTTGTAGGGTGTAACCGCTATCCATTATGCTTGATGTGGGTATGAGTTATGCAACTTCTGCGTATGTAACTTCTTCTAACCGCCTTTCCCACGTGTTCTATTTCTGTGCTTTTAATAACCGCTCTAGTGCGTCCATCAGACCTCCTCGATCACTTTTCAACTGACTATTCTAAGGTAATTACTTCATTTTGGAATCCTTCAGTAATTCCCACTTTTTCGAGTACTTCTCAGTTCGATTTGGCTCATTGATTCGAGTATATTTCGAGTACAGATAACTTAAGCCTTTGATACTTTTCTTGAACCTCATGAGTGTGCTTTTCGAGTTGTTTGATCTGCGAATCAACCCAAATCTTCGAGCAAGCCCAACAGATGCCCCCCTAGGAATTCAATCTTGATATGCATACTACTCAAAGATTTGAATTCCTGTCGAGAATTATTTTCGAGGCCTCATCGAATAGCTTCCAATAGTGACTTTACACTTCTCCGATGAAAACCTACTCTGCTCTGTATCAAATGCAAGTGATCGTTTGATGAGACATTGATGTTTTTGATTGATGGTCTTGGCGGCGCGTGTTCACTCTGCTCCATAAATTTGTCGTTGGGGAAGCAATGTTTTGGTGGCTGTTACAAATATTCACAATAACTATTTGAATTAATTTGATAAGCCCATTAACCTTAGGCCCAACGACGCGTTAAACCCTTCTTTTTTACCCTAGAGTAAAAAAAAAAACACTTTCACTGCTCTCTTCCTTCGCGCTCAAGTTTCTCTACTTTGTTCTTTGGTTTGTGTCTCAATCTTCTTCTCCGGTGAACCTTATTCCTTCGTCCTTTAAGTTCTTGTCTTTGTTTCCAAATGGCCTCTTCTGCTGCATCCTCCTCTGCTTCTGTGGCTTCTACTACTGCTCCTATTACCACCTTTGCATCAACTTTTTCCCTGACCACAGCAACGTCTCCTATCTTGACCACTGCCGCAGTGACCCCTTCTACCACGACGACTACACCCGTAACCGCCATGGCCACTGCAACCACTACTCAGGGCACTCCTCTGCTAATGGCTAACGCTCAAGTCTGCAAAGTCAAAGAAGGTGATGACACTTTCGTTCCAATCCCAGGCATGGAGGAGGCCAGCTTAAAGATATATCAGTCTCAGGTACTTCTCCCTTTCTCCCTAGAGAATGGTTCTATTCATGCTTTTCTTGGCCCTTTCGCTGGTCAAAACAAGAAGAAGTTTAGTAATACCCTTTTACCTGAAGACTCCACCACTCTACCTTTCATTTATTCACCAAAGATAGACCTAAACCTTTTTGGGGATACTACCAAAATTTTTAGAGCGTTTCCTCCTGTTAAAGAGAGACATTCGTCTTGGCTAACCTGTGTAGAGGCTTCTATGTCCTATGAATGGAAAGAAACAGGTATTTTTGAGTTTATGCAACTAGCCAAGTTCGACCTCCATCTTTTCGACCCTCAGATGCTCCTTTCTGCTATCTTTTTCTGGAATAGAGAGACGCGGGCTTTCGAGTTCCCTTGTGGTTTTGTCTGGCCTATTTGGCTCGATATTGCTGCTATAACAGGATTAATGCCTCTTGGAGAAAGATTTCATCCTGATGTGTTTGAAAAAGACCTATTTAGCTTTTATAACTGCGCATATGGGCCCTTCTGGTACGCCTGTTTCCCCTTCAGAACATATTGCTTTTCTCATGTATTGGTTATCAGCGTGTGTCTTCTGCACTCCTTCACTCCAAGTCCCAAAATATTATTATAATTTAGCCCAAGCTGATGGACTCCTTCCACCAAGGGGTTGATGATGGACGTCCAAGGTGGGAAGAATCTCCTTGCTAAGGCCAAAATGATGACCTTAAGGGTGGATGTTCCTTCAAGGGTGAGGCAAAAAAAGGAAGGTGGGCGTAAATGGATTGATTTGGGCGAATATGAGAGATAAATGGAGGATGGTGTTTTTGGGTGTTCTAGTTGGCTCTCTTCATCAAGTGGGGATGAAGGCCACTCAAGGGAACCCTAAACTCACTCTAGGGAGGAGATAGGAGAGGTAGGCCGTGTAGACCTAGTGACTAAGGAGAGGATTTGAGGCAAAAATGCTCACTCAAATTCATATATTCCAAAGTATTTACAAGGTGTGGGGTGTTGGGTATTTATAGGAGGGGAGGCATCTAGGGTTGCATTTGGAGTAGGCAAATGAATTCCAAATGAAATGCAAATGAACCCTAGATGCAACTTGGTGGCCAAGGATGGAATCTTTGGGTTTAGATTGGCTATATCTAGGTGCATGATAAGACCATGCAACCTTTGCCCTCCACTTGGGCCTAAGCCTTTCTAACACCAAAAATAGACCCAATAAGCACCAAAAATGTGTCACCCTCTAATTAACACCCTAGCCCAAA